TGAAAGCACCTACAGTGAACTTATCTGGCTGCCATTGACGATCTTAATGTGTCAGCTGTACACCTTAACAATAGCCTTTGTTAATATAATCCTGTACATTCATGAGGCAATTGTGTCATTCACTAAGTCTGTATTTAACTTACTGGGCTACTTCTATAGTTTTATTTTGGGGCAGTGTGTCGCAAAGCAGGTTAGGACTCTGTGCCTGTGATCAGAAGGTCACTGGTTCGAATCCCTGGGTTGACTGAGTGGTTTCACTGTTGGGCCCCCGAGAACGGCCCCAATTTCTCAGCTGTACATTGCTTTGGATAAAAGCAACTGCTGAATAAATAAAAATGTAATTCAGCCTATGGCTGCAGAACAAGGACATATGTTAGTGTACAGCCACGATAATTGGGTACTTTATATTTAATTATTTTTGTATTTTCTGGAACTTCAGACAAAGCTTTTGTTTCTTGAAAATGAAATTTAAGCTGCATGGATGAGAGGTATATTTTAGGCACAACGTTTTTCAGCGTGCAAAGTTGACCTGGTTTCCAAAAGTAACTGAACACCAAGCTAAGAATCTTGAGATCTGTCGCCTGTATAGCATGTGTCAATTCACATACTGTCCCAGCTAGGTGGAGGGTGTTGGCGAGGATAATTGTTACACCAGGACTAGATACTGAACTGGACTTTCCCTGGCCTGCTTTATTCATATGCTGTGGAGCGTGAATGGAAGCTCACACCCAAAGCCAATTATTCCTAGGAAAAAAAAAAACCTTTAGATGAGAAATTATCTGCACATTGCAGGGTAATGTAGGGCGGCTTAGAGGTTGTTAGTGCCTTCCTTCTGCATTGTCATTAGAAAGCGGTTTAGCATGCAAAGACATTTTGGACAATTCTGTGCTTCCATCTTTGTGGGAACATTTTGGGGAACGTAGGTGTAATGGCCAGGTGTCCCAATAATTGAGTCCCTGTAATGTAGTTTCAGTATCGTCACATTGCATTTGCTGGCACTTCTGTGTCTCGCAGCAACACCACCAACTACACACGCTATTGGTAGATAAGTTCGGTTTGGCTATAGTTTATTGATGTTATGTGGTCTGCTGATCAGTGCAACTTGTGAATGGTATAAGGATGACATATCTGCGTTTACTAATCCATATTCACATACATGTTTTCCAGCCTCTGCAAAAGATCCAAGGTGTTTAGTTCTGAATAAAATGGTAGGTTTACAGTAGCACAGTACATACTAATAAAAAAGACCTTTTGAGCATCATTTCTCTACATCTACATCAGTTACCTGAAATGCTGATTTGTTGATGCACATGAAAGCATCTTAAGCGTGGCTTGTTAAGTAAATTGCTAATATGTTTGTTGTGTATAATACTGGATGAATTATTTATTTTTATTCAGTGTGATGACAGTTGATGTTAATCTGAATTTGGTCCTGAAAATCTTCTGTGGGAACAGGCGCTGATCTTAAGGAGAGGGCGAAAATGCACCCCAGTGAAGTTGGACCTTTTGTCTCGAAAGCGAGAGCACTGATCACTGAGCTGGGTGAGTAAGCTTCACAATGAAAGCATTTCTATGACCTGTGCTCGTACTCTAACAGAGCGCCACCTGTCATTCCCTCTGTTGCATACTCAAATTAAACCGAGAAAGATCTGCCAGCCCATAGTTTAATCAGGATGTATTAAACATTTAAATAACTAGCAGTACTTGGCTAGCGATTTGCGAAATGCTCTAGTTGCTTCTTGTAACTGCAATCATTTCTGGTTTTAATATCTGTTTTTTGTGGGTTTTGCATGTATTTTGATATGCTTGTTTTTACCCAAATTATTAAATTTTTTAATATACTTCTGTGTGTGTCTTTTTTTTTTAGATATTAAACAGTACTCTACAACTCAATTGAAGCATGACATAGAGCTGTTAAAACTCTTTGCAGTGGACACATTTTCAACTAAGAATAACTTGCAGGAGAATAACACATTTTTAAATATTATCAGATTCATGCTGTTTTGCTTGTTTCTTTGTAATCTAGGGGACATGGTGTTCACCAGTAGTGCCTCTCATCCCCAGGGTTGTGGGTTCGATTCCCACCCCTTGCTCTGTATCTGTATGGTTCTTTGTGTCTCCCACTACACTCCAAACACTTGCTGAGACATGAGCTCTCTATGGTGTCCTATGCCTCATGCCCTGTGTTTCCTGGGATGGGAAGATGGGCAAGTGAATTTCGACATAATATGTGCCATGCAGTGGTGTGGGGTGGCTGGGGTGGCTCAGAGGGTAGCACTGCTGCCTCCCCCCCCCCCCCCCAAGGCTGAAGGGTTCAAATCCTACATCTGTTGTGTGTGTGCAGTTCAGGCTCATTGGCATTTCTGAATCGCCCATGGTGTGTGATTTTGAGTGTGTGCATGTGATGTCCCATTCAGGCTCGTCTTCTGCTGCAGATCTCCTCCCCCCACAACCCTGAGCAGCTAGAAGCTGCATGGTTGGATGTGGTGCCATTTGTCAGGTTCGCCCCTTGTTAAAAACGCTTCCCGTGTCTTCAGGAAACCTCCCGATGCCGACGATCGCAGCCATAGACGGGGCGGCGCTTGGAGGAGGGCTGGAGATGGCTTTGTCCTGCGATATGAGAGTAGCGGGTATGTTCGCCCCACGCTTCTGTGCTACCTGATGTTCCGTTGCAGGAAGTCTAGTACCTCAGCTAGGTAAAGAACCTTAGCTTTATCTTTATGCTGTCTATATATAGGTATGCTGTAGCTCATGGTAGCTTTCCCCCAGGGCCACAGTGCAACACACAAACAGCCAGTGACAGGGCTTTCACTGCAAAACACAGTGCAGTGTGAAACTGAGGGGCTCGACACTATAGAGGACTAAACATGACAAGTATAAATAAATATAAATATACATTTTGGTCATGAAAATGGCATAATTTGCTCAATTAATTTCTACATTTTCTGTATTACTGTCTCTGTATGTTAAGAAGGTAGGCAGGTCTAACATCACTCTCTATGGGATTGGTTAAAGGGGTGGGATCGTTTTGGCTTTACTAAGTGTGGCTGCTTTTTGGCGAACTCAGCAAATGTGACTGACTGGCCCAAAATTTGTATAGGGTTGAGGTGGGGGGTGGGGGGCAGTAGTTATGGGCCATTTGGACTAAAACCCATACCTTGATATTTTTAGGCAGAGTAGCGTTACACGATATATATGTATGTAGGCTAAATGTTCGATTTAATAAATAGACGTTGTATTCAAATTAATATAAAATTCTCCTATTCCCCTGGGCGAAGTGCAATGTGTATGTAAACTATACATACAGGATAAAAGGATATAATAAATAGGCCTATAGCGGAACTGAAAAAATGGATAGATAGTGAAAATGACCAGTGCAAGTCAACGGGACACTATATATCCAGGTCTATCTGTCCAGGTTACAGGGGAGTCAAGTGAATCTGTTGGTGAATCAGGTCAATCCAAATGTTTTCTAGTAAGTGACCGAAGAGCGCATTTTGCCGCGAGAGTGGTTGGGCGAGCCGCACGTGCTGTGGCGGGCGGCACGCGGGCTGGAGAGCGTGCCTCGCGAGCATGCCATTCGCGCCGGCTTTCGGCGCATAAGCGCATCCGTGTTCCGGGGTACAACAAGAGGCGGCCTGTTTGTTAGCGAACAGATGTCAGCGTTCCTGCCGCATTTCTCACCCAAGTTTTGATTCCGAGGTCTGTTCGGGAGCTTAACATATTTTATGTGATTCATAACAGAAGTGGTGTCTCTAATGCCTTCACACTCATCTCTACTGCTGTTAAAAACACGAACTCGCGCCAACTGCAAAACGCTGTTATTTTAAGCGCGTTTAATTCAGCGGCAGTTTAGTAAATGTCTCGTCTTCTGTTATTTGGATTTGTAATAAAAAAATCTTAGTCTGTTTCATGATTGCGATTAAACTTTCGTCTCACGGGGAATATAAAATATTTGTGAAATGTCATTCTGCGTTAGAAGTCGAATGTGCACCCCATTTTGTCAAAAGCTACAACAGATCATCATCCCCCCTTATTTGTGATTATGGGTAATTAAATTGTTTAAACCCCCCGCTAAGCGCTCTGGCTGTTGACGCAAATTGGAGTTGCCATGGATTCAGGGGATTTGCAGCAAGTGTATGTTCAAATGGTTCGGTTTTCAGCCGAATGTAACTAGTCTGAATATTTTATTGTTCTTATTATTAAAATGTTTTAAACCATTATACTTTTTGAGTAAAAGTATCCTTATGAATTTGCATGTAATGTGAGATTGTGATGCATTTTCTTCATAGAGCTTCAGGTCAACGTCACTTTTTAACACCTTTTAGCTTTGGGTAGCTGGTTTATAGGCAGAGCTGGATTTTTAAATTCATAAATTTATAAAATGAATATGCGTGGGCTTAATTTGTTCTTTGTATGAAAATTGGTGCATTTTAATAAGATTTGTTATGAATATCTTAGCATCATTTAGGTAATGCATTTTACCTCTTTTGTGTTTATAATTGTTGTTTGAATATATGTTCGATGTTTCTTGTTTCCAACATTAGTTTCTCTTTAAAACTTGTTCCTACAGCGACTTCAGCAAAAATGGGCTTGGTTGAAACAAAGCTAGCTATTATTCCTGGAGCAGGTAAGACAGACTTTGATACTGTATTTACTGCTGTACAGATTGATGGTAATATGTGCTTTCCCAGAACTGCAGCACTTTCTGTTCATTCGTGTAACTAGCATAAACTTAGAGTTCACTGGAACACAATTGAGAGTTGAAGGGAAAAGGGGGCTTTTGGTGTTTTTTATATTCATTGCTTGTACATGTACAAGGGTACATGTACAAATATCAAATGTTTTTTGCATTATTTAGAAATTTGTAAAATTAGTGCATTTACAGCACTGGAAGTAGTTTCAGAGAGTAATTTCAGAGAGTAAGTCTCATTTTATCTAGTTTTTCATCAGTGCTACTATTATGCCACAATGCATCTGTAAAAGTTAAAATATCATTGGTTTTGATTTATGTAGATGGTTTCACGTTGTGATACTCCGTAGATTTCCCCTCCATGATAAATCACACTTCAAAAACAGCTGGCGTCCAATGAACGCTCTCCTGCAACACATCATGATTGTTTTAATCTTTTTTTTTTTGCCTCAGTGTGTTATTGTCACATTGACACTCTGTACACGACTCCAAAACACATGCTGTTTACTGTGTACAAGGGACTGCTTTTAAATGATGTTTTGAATCCAAGGTTTGACTAAACATTCCGTTAAGCGTCTGCCGCCTTTTCATACCTCGTCCAAGCTTTGGTGCAGTACTGCATGAATGCCAGTGTCATGAAAACGCTCCTCTTTCTAAAGCACATTACTTTCTGGAGATGACTGTCAGATTTGGATGATGTTCAGTTTTTTTTTTTTGTCCCCGGTAGTTAACCTTAAAAGGAGAAATAGTGGGGAAAACATTAAGTAAATGAACTGTCCAATAACCCCCACCCCTCCCCCAATAAAATAAATCCCTGTTGTGCAATGCTGGAACTTTCAAACAGGCTTTGATGATAACCAGAAAAGTTGTGATTTCATGCTTTCAGTCATACTTTTATCATACTTAAACCCCTTTGTAATAGTGGTGAGAATGAAATATTATAATCGCATGCACTCACCACTCAAGCTTTTATTTTTTTCTCCATGATCGATAGCAAGGCGCTTGCAGTAATCATCAGTTACATCTCAGAAGCTTTTGGGTCATGGTAATGCACCTTTGAGCACGGTGAATTGCAGGACCTGTTGGTTTTGGTCGATCTCAGGTCTAATTGAGTAGTTTATAGCCTCGCCTAACATAACAGACCTTAAATAACCACTGACTAAAATGTCAGTGTTCTTGAGCATCTGTTGCTCTCAGTCAAAGTTTTAACCCTACTGTGTGGAGCAACATAACTAGGTTCAAATTTAGGGCCATTTCTTTCTTGGGGGAAAATGGGTTATCACAGGCGCAAATTAACTTATGTGGGGGCCATAGACTGACAGGTATTGCTGTTCTAAGATATAATTAATGATAGCCTATGCATTAATCTGCCCCTGGGTTCCTGAGTCTTGGTTTACTTCTTTATTTAATTTTATTTTTAAATTTTGGGTTGGTTTGACCGTAGAAGGAAGGAATGGTAGCAGAAGGCATCATACATTAATACAGGACGAAGGCGCTTTTACCATGTTGCTAGGTAGGAGGAGTCCTGTAAGCTGTGCTGTTTTTGTTTTGTAAACGAGTCCGTGTCCTGGAAGGTGTGTGTATCACGACACTTGAGACCAGATTTATGTTCCAAATGATCTTCACATGTGCTGGGTTTAGATTGAGCGGCATTTCTCCTGCATGTTCCCAGGGTTAAGTACGTACACCGACCTCTCCAATTCAGCCGAGTCAGCTGGCGTGAAAACTACTGGCGAATCACCCGTGAGAAGCTGAGTTTACCAACCCTCTGTTACGCAACCCTCACTCGACGTAAATCCGTAACTCGAGTAATGCAACTTTTTTTTTTTCTTAAACAGTTGTGCTTCTCCAGCTGACCTTTAGCCTAATTTCTTCTGGGCTGCTGAAAGTACGCAGATACATATGACACTGCAAGTGACGGAGTCTGAGTGGACCCCCTGACCCGGTTTAATTAAAACATTGTAATACATTTGCATTTAATTTATTGAGCAGATACATTTATCCAAAATCACGTACGTTTTTTTTTTTCTTCTTCAGGAAGCAAGGTCAAGCAGTCCTTGGAGCAGCTGAGTGTTAGGGGCTTTGCTTGAGGACCTGATGGCAGTCAGTCTGCCAACCCTGTCTTTTGAACTGGCAATATTCCAATTACAGTCACAGCTCCCTAATCCACTGAGCCATACGCCACCTTCAGAAATTTTGTTTACAACATACGCACATGACCACTTTGTTGCGGCCTTTAACATAAGTCAATTTGCATAGCCGGTGTTCCATGTAGTAAGTCACCAGTAACGTAAAACTTGGCAGCCCCGGTCCGACGCTTCAATCGAACAGAGAGGTGCTGCGGCAAACATGGGCGGGTAACACCTCCAGTGTGCTGCAGTGTGGACGCTGGGACAAGCTCAAGGCTGCGCGATGCCGTATAGACGACGAGGGTGATGAGCTTGGTGTTTTTCTGAAAGATGCGTTCGGCCCCTGCTTGCTCCGGTTTGTCCAATAGGGTTAGCCAGCTAAATGGAGCTGACGTTAAATATGAGGAAGCTCCTCGTGTTTATGTACATCCAGGCATATCTCTCTCCTCTTTCCATCCCCAAACACTCCAGAAGATTAGTTAGTTTGTCATGTTGCAAGGTCTCTAATAATCTCATTGCTCTGAAATTTCAGTGCTCCAGAGACCCAGTTCAAGGTCCAATTCTATGTGTCCTAAAAACAACACATTCATAACCCACTTCCATACAAAAAAACACTTTGGTGTTTAATGTCTATTATAAGCTTACACAAACTATTTAGCTCAGTGAGCTTTACTCCTGCATTGCAAGTTGGTGACTGTGAGGTATTTACCATCAAAACCTGAAAGGGTCTCTAATGTATGTGGGTCAACAGGATTGTTATGGCCCAGTAGAACAGGCCATTTAAGAATATTCATAAATATTTACAGTGGTTCTAGCTGTCTGAGTTTCCAACGTAAACTGTTTATGTATATACATTCTGTCATACCCCAGGAAAAACACGAATCTAGGGATATCAGAACGTCATGCGAATCTTGCATTTCAGAACATTAAAGTAATGTTAAACGTCAAGTAATTTCAGAAATTTTGAATTTCAAAATATTATGTTAAAATAAGTTTCAGATAGAGATCCAGTTGACCTCTTGATGGCGTACTTATATTTTTGTTAATAAACCGCATTTTGGTAGGCTTATTTTATTGCACTTTTTAACCTGTAAATACAGTTTAGAAAATGAATTTGAGCTCGACAAATACAGCACCTACAGAAACATTTCTTCTGTTTGTAGGCCTATTCAGTATATATTTATATACTCCCTTCCCCCCAAAATACATTTGTACTCAACAGCTGCCATATATGTGCCTAAGTTTAGCTACTTGCTTGCCATTGGAGTCACTGGAGTCAAACCCAAGGTCACAATGGAAACCAGCAAGGGATTTCAGACATCACATGAAGCCTCAGATGTTATTGACAAGCGCGTTTCGGCGAAATGGGTCAGGACGAAAGGCTTCAGAACGTAAATGAATACACGCTGAATAGAGTCTAGAAATAGCCCTGTTAGCCAGGCCTGGTAATTTTAAACCTGTAAACACAACCTTTGAAAAGTGGGCCAAACTTTTGTACCGTTACGCCTATTCAAGGAGCTGGTGTCTATATATAAATTCCTTTTTGTTGATCAACGATGAAAGCTGTTATTCAGACTTGTTCCTCTTTGTGGTTCAGGTAGCCACTCCTGTTGGTTGTGCAAAGAAAGCAGCGCACTGCACTTACTATTCGTTAATAACCAAGCGAGTATGGATAATAGTAAAATGATGAAGGAATGATTTAATAATAATAATTTCTTCTCAGCATATGACCCATTGATCATACAGTAAAGATACTTTGACTTGATATTGACTGTGGAGACTCTTATGGTAACATTTTTAAAGCTCAATCTCTGTTTTTAAGAACTGCTGAGTTATAACCCACCCCCCCAATTTGGCAGACTGTGTGGATAGGCGGGGGATGTGTCAATGCTCTGGTCCAATGGCAGTTGCTGCCCTCCGGTGCCCAGCTGAACGCTTTCTGTCCTGAGATCCACTCTGAGCCGGAGTGGACAGTCTCAGAGAGTCTGTCCCTGACTGATGATGCTCATCCTCAGGACGCCTGTCTCTGTAAAGCCTGGAGCTGTGTTTCAAACGATTGTGATGTAGACTTTGGTTCACCATATTAGGTATTAGCTTTTTCTACCAGTTAATATATTAATGAAGCCCAGTTTGTTTATATAGGTGGTTTTCGGCTGACGAAAGTAATCTGTTCCACAGACCCTTACATAAGTCAAATTTTAGATTGATAGAAATGCTAGATTGACCTTCCTATACCATTTAAAATACTTTATAGCAGAAACCACCTAAGCCAAAAAAATTCTAGGAATATGTACCAAAGAACACACATTAAACAAATGAAAAATATAAATTCACTTATAGGAATCTTTTTGGGTTAACACTTCAGTAAACCATGTATCTCTGATCCGGGACTACTTAAATTAGTTGTACTCACGTTGAGAGCTGCCTGTGTTGTGTTTTCCACCAGATTACTGTTGATCAGTTTGCCATCCAACCCACTGACTTGAATACTGTAGTGGCTGTGAAAGTCTTTCTGCCCTGACTAGGTTGTTCAGTTTATGTTCCGTTGATCTATTGTTAATGGGGGTAATCAGGTATTTAGGAAGCAAGGGTCCACTGACTGTATTCAGCAGCTGATTACCATTTAACAATTATGCCTTTTGATATAAAACATTTGAAGTAAGTCAGTATTGGTCTTCAAAAGCAATCCTCTGCTGGCTTGTTTTGTTCTGTTAAATAATTATTTGCTTTTCACTGGTACTGAAATGTCAAACTGACCCAGTCTCTTACAGGAATTTCAGAAGCTCTCGGACATTTTATTTTCCTCCCCCTCCTGCTGAAAAGCACAAATCTGGTGCTTCCCAATCTATTGTTGCCATCACGGGTACGAAGGATTGTTCTTTCGAGAGTCTGCTAAGGTGACTCGGCAGATGGTATGATGAGTTGAGGCGCATTCTCCTGTCTAAGGAGCACCTTCTCTGTGGTGTTAGTCAACATGCCTCATTTTGAATTGTACGCTAAGAAGTTTGACTTCAGTGTTAATGCCCATTAATCGTTTCATGCGCATATCCAAACCCAGGACAGGGTCTGGCATATTTGGAAGTTTGATAAACATGAGTGGTTTGCTTGTAGTCTGTTGTTTGTTTCAGTTTGGCACTCGGTTTCAGTTTCAGGACTGGAGGCTGACTGGGTGACTTCCTAATGAAACCTGCCTGAGATAGCCGCTCCTTCACCCTGCTGAAAAGTGGTAGCTAATGCCGGGGTGTGCATCATTAAGGAAGCCCGGTAATCTCTCTTGGAAGTGGAGCCCAAATGAGTATTAATAACGTTATTAGTCATTTTTTAATACTTGCTAAACATTTAATGAAGGTGGCAGCGTGAATTATGTAATATGGAGTATTGTTTTTGTCTGTCTCGAATTCATGTATTCTGTTCCCGTTTTGCTCGAGTGTCGAAACGTCACAAATGCATGATTGGGGGTGGGGGGGTGGAGTTAATCTGCGAAATTCCCAGAAACAGCAGCGTGTCACCTGATGCTAGATATGTGTGGCATAAGGGTGCAGTGACATCCTAGGGGCACCGGTGTGAAAGTAGGTCAGTGGGGGTGGGGGTGGGGGCAGGGGCAAGCCCAGGGAACCCCAAGAGCTTCTCTGGGTCGTGACAGGAGGATTTGCGTGATGGGATTCGCTTTAGGTTCAGTGGCTTTCTTGATCGCACTGTAACATGTGAAGCAATGGCTTCCCAGAAGCAGTTGCAAAACTGGTAAATTAAGAGCCGTCCATTTCTCAACGTTACACTCGTTACACAATTGGGTGAGCATATTTTTCTATAATGGGCAGGAAATACCGGCCATTTTACCACAAGAGTTGTTATTCGCTTGTGATAGATGTGAGCGGCGGCAATGAGCACATTCTTTTCCTTTCATGTAATTGAGTACATATTAAGTTTAATTTAAGAGCTTGGGGGGATGGGGAATGGATCAGGGTCTGGATGAAAGGACAAGACCGTAAATACCATGCTTGTCCTTTTTCTTGGCATTTCGAATTATTCAGTAGCTGTGTCCTAAAGAGTAACACTTTGTTTAGTTGGAGCTTGTGTACTGTGATAGCCTAGAATGCCATAACAGTGCATACACACACATACAAGCCCGTGGGAGAGTGAGTGAGTTTGGTGTTGCTTCACTGCGGCCTTGTGATGCAATACTTCTGGGCACCGCCGTATGTAAACACTTTCCTCCAAGTGCTTTTGTAACAGTTGAGCAACGGGGTCAAACGTCGAGAACCTTGTGGGTGAAATTCATTAAAAAGGTATTTTTATTACATGTTGTACAACAGTTCCTGACTCGTGAAACATCCCGTGTTCTTGTACGTAGTCTGCGATGTATTAATAACATATGCTGATAATGGCGCAATAAAAACAAAAGTAGGAGTAGAACCATAGCTAAAGATGAGAGATTCTAATGGACTTTGTGGATCATTTCCTATCGAAGTCATTGACTGGCTGTCACGGTCTCTGCTCGTCTTCGTTCGTCTGTTATGTGTGTTCTTTCTCCATCTTCTACCTTCTACCATCTTCTACCTGTATGTGTGAAGCATTTCCTCCCAAGTGGAAATGCTAGCAGGTGGAGGCAGTCTGTTTACACGGTCACGTGGATTTCTGGTTCCACTGTCTGCAATGAACGAATCTGCATTGTGTTTTTTTTCGGGTGGGCAGGCTTGCATTACTGTAAATAACCCTGCCGTCTGGCTGGCTGAACGTGCTGCTGGGCAGGCTGTCCTAATGAACTTAGACTCACATTTTCTGGCCAAGTTAGCAATTAATTAAGTGGATCTTTTTTGTGTTTATGTGGTGGACTGTTGGGCTGGGGGGTGCTTCTGTATCCCTTTCTAGCGCCGAGAACCTTGGCTGCCTTGATTTATAAAAATAATGTAAAAGCACAAAATCAGGTTGGTACAGGCAAGAGATTACTTTTTTTCCCCTGCAGTCCTTGGTTCAGCCTGTCTTAAGCAAACCTCCTAAAAGCAACTTTTTTTCTCCTCCAACACTTGTTTGGATTTTTAGCAGTTGCTTATTTT